TTGGCATTTCTGTGCATTTCATTTTACCGCTCTGTTACTGTTCTTGTAATCGGGTTGTGTGTAATCAAACATTGAAAGCAGCCGTGCAGATCCCTGCAGCTGCAGCACGCCCTGCTACTCCCAGCCACTCCAGAGACAACTTCCCACTTAAGATTTTAATTTTTTAGAAATACCTGTTCTTCAAATAGCTACAATAGCTCTGCAGGAGCCTGTCAGTCAAGGAAGATTACAGACTCCCTAAATTCAGGCTGACATGACAGACTGTAATGACTTTGAAGGGTCTTTTATGGTCTATTGTGCCCATGGTTCCTGCCCAACAGAAGCATCTCCTACATGTCTCATTAAAACAGTAATAGCTCCAGAGACTTCTATATTATCAGTTCCTTCAAACGTGAGTTTTTTCATCACAAAAAAAGAGCACATTAATGTTATACTAAAGGTGCAGGATAAATAAGAGAATAGAATTTAGATTTTATGCAATTTTGATGCTGAGAAATTGCAGTATTGGCAAGGATCTGAACAATTTTAAGTAAAATTTTTGCTTGCTGAAAGCCCAAATGAAGTGAATGGCACTGTCTGTGCAGTGAGATTTTAATGTGATGCCATAGGGACCAACGTGGTGTCATAAATAAAAGTGGTGGATGATTTTGGGACGCCATAGCCCCAGGGTAAGTTACGATGCTCATCTTTGGGATGGATGAAGATCTTTGGCCTCAGCCATGCTGGAGGTCAGGGCAGACCATCACACTCACCCTTCCTGGCTTCACGCTCTCAATCTTCTCCTGAAGGCAGGAGCATGACATTTCTAATACCATATGATTTACATGTGAAAGAGAGAGACAATGCCACAGCGTTGCTGTTTGAAGGGAAACTTGCATTTGCTAGTCAGCTGCATGTTTTTACATCAGTCACATCTTTCATTTCCCAGGTATGCAGTGAGGTTGTGAGGCTGCCTGGGGATTCCTGGTGACACTCCCACGGAGTCTGAAAATCCTGAGGGTAGTGAGAAGATGGAAGTAAGTCAGGAGCAGAAGGAAACCTGTTCCAGAGTTCATGCTGTGACAGCCTGCAAACATCCATTGTAGGAAATCCCAAGATGTTTGGGCTGTCCATGAGGCTGGACAGCCACCAAAGCATCAGAGGGGTGCAGTAATAAACCACAGGAGCTGGCACACACAGAGCAGAGTGGCTCTGCCCAGCAGAGGGTAGCATTGACCCAACACCCCAACCTGTACTCCAGGCTTACACTTTCACCCACCTACGGATGCCCACCTCTGCCACAGCCCCTCTGAGATGAGAGGCACAGCTTAGCCCAGACCCAGGGAAAACCTCATAGGCTGACACTGTGCAAATTCTGCTCATAAATTATAAGAAATCTGGAAAATCAGCTTCCAAAACAGAATTTTAAGGAATCTGTTAAAAGACACAGTACATGTTAAATAATAAAGTGCATACAGTCACATTTGTTTAAAAGTAAATGTTATTTAGCTGCTTGTATTTGGATTTGTTTTCAGGTCCAGATTTGATGATCAGGTTTGCAGCTGGTCAGGTTTGGGGCTGCCCCTGAGGCACCAGAGTGCCTGTACTGCCAACAGCAAAGCCTCTGATTTGGTCACCTAACTTGGGTGTCCCAAAAGAATTGCACTTTTTTTTAGTGCAATTTAGTTTACATATTCTAAAACTGAATCCCGAAGATCTTAAATACAAGCATGTCTCCGTTAGTGTAGACTATCATTTTCTCTGATGTCTGACGAATCCTGCCTGTCGCCCCGCATCAGAGCTCAGCCCATGCCCGATGTGACGACGCTAGAGGTCTCAGTGTCGCTGAGAAAAAGCTGCTTTTAGCAATAATAATCCCAGCCAGGCGTGTGTGACAGTGTGAGAGGCCGATGCCGTGCCGGGCTCGGACGGCGGTGCCGGCGGGGTGGGCGCGGTGCCAGGGCTGGACCCCGGGCCGGGGCT